GCCTGGACAATCTATAATGAAACTGTTGATCTGTGCTACGTTGTAATGTACGGATTTGGACAGAAAACTGGTATTCTTTTTTTTTCTTTTTTGTATGACAGAATTTAAAAAATATGAATATAACAATCGTTAGAATTAGGATCATGAATGTGGATCGGATTTTTCTATTTGTTTATGGTAAAAATGCTCATGGCGAGCGTGATGGCTTTTAAAATTAAAAACGAAAGGCTTTAGTTCACCTTTTTCACTCTGACTGCAAACCTCAAGCAAAGATTTTCTGCAGTATTTACATCAAAGCGTAGATTTAAATGATCTTATTAACCAACGACGTCGTTATTTCCAGAATATTTTTAGGGAAAAATAACCTTCATTCTGAAATTAGATGTTATAATGAGTAATGGAGTTATGAGTTTGATTTTTTGTTGTCTTGTATTTTTGTGTCATACCTCATAATGCAGAAGTAAATCAGGAAAGTGATTTTAAGAGTACAACTGTATTTATGGTTTATCGTTACGACTGCTGCTAGGTATTTGGAGTTCATTGATCAGTTTGTTTGGGCTTTAAGGAATTAATTTATGACATATTTTGCGCAAAGAACCAAATCTGCTCTCCATACATTATCACAATTTTTTTTGTTCGCAGAGATTAGACGGATTAGATGATGGCATCTTTTTCTTAAAGGGAAAAATAGGAGGAGCGACAAAGATACAATAGAGATACGAAGGCAAAGGAGAGAAAACTAGGCATGATGAGCTCTGTTCAGTGTGTGGGTTAGAATAACTGGGACAAAATTAAACATCAAGTAAAAAGGTTTGTAAGTCACTGGAGTCCCATTCAGACGTGCTGGGTATCATGCTGAGTTTCAAGTGCTGTTAACTCGATACTGACAATTAAATATCACATAACACCTTCTGTGCTTTTGGTCTTGTAGCTGCAACGTATTTGACCGTCGCTGGACCTTTATCCCAAACTGGTTCGAACTGGCTTCACGCCGATTCTGGCCCAGTTCAGCAGCGTGTTCTTCCCAACTCTAAAGCTGTTATATGTAAACGATTTGAGTTGTCATTTTTCTGTTGATGCTTTTTGGGAGTCGTGGTAGGATCTTTTTTATTTATTTATTTTTTTTTTTAGCAAGGAGACAATCTGGTGTTGTCTGTGTTGCTGTCCAAAATAAAAGATCTCTGCTAGCAGCTGGCCGATACTAATGCAATTCTCCCTCTTGTCATTGAAATCCGGAGACAAATTTTCCCCCCGACCACAAATCCAGCCGTGTACTCTGACCTGAGCATGAGGAACATGAACTCATTACGCTGCCATTGAGTAATTTGATTTGTCTCTTGCTCACAACACAACAATTTCCCGCAAAACAGTTTAGCAGATTTGCACAGTCTGTAATGTAATCCTGTAATTTATGTTATATATGTCTTGTTTTTCCTGGAACACGGCCTCGTTTATAGATGACAATCCTCGTGAAGCACAGAAAGCCATAACTCACCTTGATGCAAAACAAGGAAAGGGGTGTCGGGCAACATCACATCACGCAATTAAAGTTTTCAGTATCACAAATGAAGATTTTGTTTGATAGTTGGAATCATGAAACATTGCTATATCATATTTTATTTGTGCGATATCATCGCATAATGGCCTCTTTATGGGGTTCTTGAGTAACTAAATCTGAGTTGAAATAGACCATGAAACACCGGATGTGTGACTGAGATGAAGAATATCTACAGTGGCAGTCTAGTGTCTCGTTCCAGTGACCATTGGGTCAGAGGCAGGACACTCTGGACAGGTCACCAGTCTGTCACAGGGCCATTTCAATCATCTCTTGACTCATCAAACTAATTGTAATGTCAGACAAAGATAACCTGAGTAAATACCAAATGCTGTTTTCAAATAATGAGGCTAAAAAGTCCATCCAAACCAACCTGGCTCTATGTGAGGCAGCTTGTCAAATCTGAATAAACTGTGAATTAATAACTGATTGATAAAGTTGTTTTTCACAAAACCTGCAGAGACCCGGTTACATCCAGACCTGATGAATCAAGAAGCCATTTAAATAGAACCTGTCTAATAACATGAAGAAGGCTTGAACATCTCTAAAAACAATGTAAAATACCCTCACAAAAACACACAACGTGTCCATCTCTGACTCGCTCAAAAAAAGAAAAGATTTTGGAGCGGCCTAGTCAAAGTTCAGACTTAAAAATACAATTAATACGCTGCTCCATTACCTTAAACATCCTGGTAATCCCCTAATATGACTAATTCTGTGAAGAAGAGTGGGCCAGAATTCATCGTCCACTGTCGTTGCCAATTATCTCAAATGCTTGAAAACTATTCATGTGGCAGCAGCATAAGCAGTTACCAGGTTTCAGGGGACAAATCCAAAAATGGGATGTGAGGGCATGAAAACCTTACTTCTCCCATGAAACAGACAAAATATTCCAAAGAAGCACTGAAAAAGACAGATCTTTTGTGCATACCTGACCATTAAAACCAAAACAAATGTATCTCTATGTTTATCTCTTGATTTTCTTCTTTTTACGTTTTTAAAGTAAGGGATGCATTTCCTATTAGATGAAGCTCTAAATAACTCGAGCCTTAGAATGGTAAAACACATTCATGGTTATTGAAAGCAACACTCAGATGTACAAACTCACCATGGGTCTGCGGTTTTCCACCAGGTGGATGCCAACAATTCCCAGAAACGCTCCAAAACTGAGCTGAAGGATCAAAAACAATGTTTGTGTTTGTAATTTAAAACCAACCGGGTCACCTTATAACCTTTCTCAAAAAAATAAATAAATTCTCACGGTGATGCCGGGGTAATATCCAGACACGGACACGTTGTCAGTGCGAGTGGCCGAGACGAGACCGACGGTGAGGACCACCAAAGCCACCATCAGCAGAGACACGGTCACCCACAGAGCCGTCTTCCCTCTGCGGACGTAGAGACCTGAAAGACGGGAAGAGTAAAGAAGGATGTCCAGACTCTGACATTAATGTGATTAAATATAGTGAAAATATTTCTGCACAAATCATGGAAAATACATATGTGACATGCATATTGATAAACATAATTTGATATTTTATACAACTAAAGCACATAGTGTTGTCGTCGTTACATTTTAGTCTTCAACTGTACAAACTGTTATGTGATTCACTGATTGTTGCACTTGATTCATCATGCAAAAGCACAGAGATTTGGCTCCAGGTACTTTTTAAAATCCTTCACTTGCTGACAACTAAATCTTTTTTTTTTTTTTTTTTGCAACCTTTACAGGAATTATTGAGCTTTTCATTTCATTTCATTAAATTAAACGAACTTATAAAAGTGATTGCTCCTTCTGTACAGCAGAGGTACCTCCTCAAGTATTTAGTTTATTCTGCTCCCTTTTTTCATGTGAATAATTTAGAGTTTTAGTCTTTCCCAAACCTAAAGGTGCATTTGTTAACGCAACAGCAATATTAACACGAAGAAGGCTAATGATCAGTTTCATGGGGGGGAAAATGAAGAAACATGCTTAACAGTGTGAAGGATGCTTATTTTTAAAGTTAAGTTTACCTGCAGAATCCAGAGTTTCTGTGGTTGTTTGCTGACTGCTCTGCTGTGTTTCGGGCTGCTGCTGCTGCTGCATGTTGCTTCAGTCAGGATGAGTCTAAAATAAATAATAATAAAAACAAAAAACAACAAACAAAAACACAGTCCAAGTGGTTCCTCTTGTGCAGTCAACTAACACTAATTTGCTTTCAAAATAGCGTCCTCATCCTTCACAGAGTAACGCGACGGGTTCCTGTGTTTCCAATCCACAGAGCTGCAGGATGTTCAGAGGAGGTTTCAGACAGCAGACTCTGTGAAAGGTCCGAAGGGTTCAACTTTACTTGTAGCCTGAGAGGAAGGGAGACGCACAGAGGGAGGAAGAAGAAGCCAATCAGCTCCCTGTGTTCACCCGAGTGGTGAATTATTCAAATATTTATCTTACGTAAGTTTTATACGGCTTCAGGTGGATTCCTGTGGAAATTGTTAAGAAGATGCTGGGAAAAAAACATACAGCTCAGAGTCTAATGATGCATACAATTAGGTTTTACGAGATTTTCATGACTGTGGGAAAGAATAATTTAAATGAGTACAGCACCCTCTACTGGAATGCAATATATATGTGTGACCTGCTGAAGCATAAGACATACATTGAAACAAGAAAGGTTAAAAGTAACCTACACTCTTATTTACAGGCCCGATAAAGATAAATACGCCTTAAAAGAAATTCTTCTTATTCTTCCTCTTTTTTTGGCAGCATCTCACAATGAAATTTTTTTATTATAATTCATCAGCCATCCATTATTTCCAGTTTTATTTTTTTCCCCCAAAATCCCTGCAGTCATCCTTATCACCCCCAGAAATTCCTGTAAAAATAAATTAAACCTTAGTTTTTTCAGGCAATCAGATTGTTTGGGAACTTTTAATTTGTAATCCTTAACAATTCATTATCCTTGGGGTGTAAAAGTGATGTGACACAAATTCCCATTACTGTTAAAGCCTCTCCAAAATGGGAAAAAGAAGAGAACATCCCTTTAAACTGAGGTAAATTTGTGTTGTGTTTACTGTCAGAGAAATAATGAAACACTTTTAATATGTGCAAAACAGTAAAATTATAATCTTCATAACAACCATTCAATTTAAGGTTTTTATTCACATCTTTAAGAGGGATTTCATTAATATTTAACATATTCAAATAATTATTTACATATCTAATGATCGACACATTGTTACTGTTTTTGTTTCAGCAAAAAGAGAAGATTGTGGTGGAATTTAAAAAATGAATGAGTACTTTGTAAATGCATAAACTAGAATATTAAGCATTAACCTCCTACATGATTAGCAGGAATAAATGTTAAACTAAAATAAAGGATTTATGAAACTTACAGAGACAAAAAGAAGTATTTTGTATGGACTGCAAGGGGTATAGATTAATTTAAAAACATCAAAACCACATTTGGATTAAATGCAAAACAGTGTATTTATTTGCTTAACATCTTTGTAGAAGAAAACAATCTTTAAATCTTGTTATAAACTAATGTGGTACACCGGGGAAGCAGAATGATAAAAAGTAGGAGAAATCTGTACAAGCCGTAAGCATCGGTATGAAAAATAAACACTCTGCTGTTTGACTTTTGCTTTTCATTTAGTCTCATAGCGACTGAAGAACTTCACATTTTTTACTCCTAACTAGAACAGACACATTGAGTGTTGGAAATAAATCTGTATATTTTGCAAAAAAAAAAAAAAAAAAAGATGTTTTTAAAGAAGCCTGATAAAAAATTGAATACCTTGGTGAACTGTTGAGCAATTTCTTACTATGGAACAATAATCCTATAAATATCTTTACATTGCACAGTTCTTGAAGTACAAAAAAAAAAAGAATCATTGATGACATGAATCCTCCCGCACTGCCTTCTTGCCCATCCCTGTACAATCACTCATATAGAGAAGAGAGGTTTCATGTTGAACTCTCAGCTCAGTGTGCAGGTGGAGGACTTGGGCGGCTGCTCCAGGATGGACTCACGCCGCAGGTCGTTGGGCAGGGTGCCGCCGGGACCCCACACGTTGAGCTCTCCGTAGATCCCGGTCTCTATCATCTCCTCCTGCCAGGGGATGGGGATGTTCCCCGTGGCGAACTCATCGAAAAATTCCTTGTCTACGTCTTCCAGAGCCACGCCTTTCACCGTGGAGAAGGCGCCGACGTTGTCCAGGTCCTTGGCGTACACCGTCTTGGAGTCTGGCACGAAAGGGGGAGGTAGGATTCCTGAGGGGGACAGAAGGTGAAAGAGTTTGTCTTAGATAGTTTGACGTTGGAGACATCAGCAACAGGATATCTAATGTTCTAGTATTTTACTTTAGTGAGTGAGCAACCCAATTGATATTTTACTCTAACAAAGGTTTGGTAAAGCTTGTACATTGAAATGTTTCAACTGATTTAGTTGGATCTACTTCTCAATAAAACCAAAGCTTTTAGAGCCCTATTTGGACTTGTTGACGGTCCAAACAGGGTTGGTCAAAGCTGGGAAATGATCAGAACCTTGTACATTTCAAAACTCTTCTCTGACGGGTGGGCAGAGGATTTGTTTGAAGACTTTTTTTTTAACCATAGAGCAGAAACGTCCTTTTGGTGACACTAACAGCTTGCATCTGGACATTTATTTCTGTCACAAACTGACCTGCGTTCAGTTTCCTCCAGTTAATGTCCTGGAAGAAGGGGTGAGCCCTCAGCTCGTCACACGAGCTGTCCTTGAACCCGAACCTCTTATCGACCTCCTTGCAGAGCAGACCCTCGCAGATGGACCGGGTGCTCTCGCTGAACTTTTCCGGATAGGTTACGGGATCGTTCAGAATCCGTTTCTTCACCACCTTGTTCTCCACCTGATGCGACAAAATCAAACTTCTGCTCAAACTCCAAAATCAAAGAAGCTCCTCGTTTATTCATGCAGCCTTTCTTTTCCGTCTACCTTCTCTCCGCGACTCCTGAAGGGTCCCTTAGCAGCCAGGAACTCATAGAGTGTGACTCCCAGAGTGAAATAATCCACAGAGTAGTCGTACTCTTCGCCTTTCAGAAGCTCGGGAGCCATGAAACCTGAACGGGAGAATAAGAAGTTCTCAGTGTTTAAACTGGAGCATCAATTTAGATTTGATGTAATGAATGAAATAATAAAAAACGCCAAACATTTTTGTTAGAAATATTTTGCTTAGTGTCTCAGTTGGCTACTGCTGTAGGAGATCTATTTAAAAAAAAAAAGCAATTTAATCTTGAATCGAATTATTTTCCTTGTAATTTAGTTTTCTTAATTTAAGATCATGTCTCTTCAAGGCCATCATTAATTTAAAATGAAAATAAAGTGACACAGACAAAGACGGAGGTTCTTAACCAAATCAATCATTAGGTATAAAAAGAAAAGCCTGCATGATAACTAGAGCATTATAGGATCTGTTGTTGTTGTTTTTTTAAGTTCAAAACTTCAAAATGTAACCGCTGACATTAAATAAGGATCAACTGTTTGGCTCTCACACATTCAGTTGAGGCCAAAAGCCTTTGTTTAAAGAAAATGTTCTTAAGCTCACTGTGTGAATGTTTTGTCTGTACCTGGAGTTCCAGCATAGCCCTTGATTTTGAGCTGATCGTCTGCCAGCTCCACGGCGAGACCCAGATCAGAGATTCGCACGTTACCTGTGAGAATAAAAAAAACAGCACAGAGATGTCAAGAGCTCACTCTCTGACAAACTCTATTTGCTATAAAAATAAATCTATCAACACTAGATGTAGTATGACAAAACAAAACCATCTGTTTAGTGGGTTTTTGAATCCTTGTAAATCCAAGAGAAAAAGCTTAACTTTTCCCAGAAATGCAGAGCCTTGTAAAATACTCAATCATCTCTTGACTCATCAAACTAATTGTAATGTCAGACAAAGATAACCTGAGTAAATACCAAATGCTGTTTTCAAATAATGAGGCTAAAAAGTCCATCCAAACCAACCTGGCTCTATGTGAGGCAGCTTGTCAAATCTGAATAAACTGTGAATTAATAACTGATTGATAAAGTTGTTTTTCACAAAACCTGCAGAGACCCGGTTACATCCAGACCTGATGAATCAAGAAGCCATTTAAATAGAACCTGTCTAATAACATGAAGAAGGCTTGAACATCTCTAAAAACAATGTAAAATACCCTCACAAAAACACACGTGTCCATCTCTGACTCGCTCAAGAAAAGAAAAGATTTTGGAGCAGCCTAGTCAAAGTTCAGACTTAAAAATACAATTAATATGTGAAATGCAGAGCCTTGTAAAAAGGTTTCATACTCCTTGAACTCTTTTTTTTTTTTGCTGCACTGAGTTTTATATACAGTTATCAGAGTAAAAGGTGTTAAAACACAAATGTAAACCACAAGTTTCAGATATTTTTAATTATATAAAACAAACCAAAAGTCAAAGCATGTGCCTTTTTCTTCTGCTGCTCAACTTTGCTTTGCTCTGTCACATAAACCATCGAAGTAACATGACAGAATAATTACACGGGGAAACAGACTTATGTTAGGGTATGGATATTTAACAGTCTTGGGCAGATTTGATTTATGAGATTTATTTGCAAGTAAGAATTTCACTTTCAACACTTTTTGCCATGTTTACAAAGCAATGACACTTCAATTCCTAGTACATGTTTTACTTAACCAGCTGGGTTTCGGTCATTGGCTTAAACCTCTGAAAAATAAGGGAAAAGCTAGTTCATGCTGATGAATTAGCTGCATTTAAAGTTCCTCCCTTTAGTTGAGTGCGTGTGTTTCTGACCCTCATTGTCCAGCAGCACATTCTCTGGCTTCAGGTCTCTATAGATGATCCTCTTCTGGTGGAGGTGCTCCATGCCCTGGATAATCTGTGCTGCATAGTAACAGGCCCGCGGCTCATCAAAACCTGGGTTGTTCTCATCCACATTGTAGATGTGATACCTGGAAGCAAAGTTATTGATCAGAGACAGGGTGGGAGATATTGTGTAATTTGAACTTCGTGGAAGATGACATGAAACAAACAATAATAATAGTTAAAAAAAAAAGAAGTGTTAATAGAAGTTCTAACCTCAGGTCTCCTCCATTCATGATGGTCATGACCAGACATAACTCGATCTTTGTCTGGAAGGCATAAGCCAAGGAGACAATGAACCTGCTGTGAACTCGGGCGAGGATCCGTTTCTCCACCATCGCCCCCTGGAGGAAGAAGAAGGTAGTAGTCGTAAGTAAACCGTCCTGACCATCTTCATTCACAGGCTTCTTACTAATCCCCCGTCTAGCTTTGAGGAAATGTTGTAGTTGTTCCTTCTACTATATTGACAAATTTCATGGTTTCTCTGTAAGCCACCAACTCAGCCGACTTAATCGCACAGTGTGTTTTTCTCAGCTCTCAGTTTGTGAGCCTTCTATAATTAAAAAAAAAAATTAAAAAGTAATATAAAGTAAAATATGAAGACAAATGTATTACTCTAACTTACTGGGTCTGGCAGTTGTATGTAGAGCATTTCAATATAGACTCAGTAAATATTAGTAAAGCCAGTTTCATCAAGCTTACGTTGAAAATTATAATTTATTTTGGGAGTAATTTGTGGAGACAATGTGCCTGAAATTTGACTCCGAACACAGCTTGCATCGCATCAACAATACACAGTAGATTCAGAATCTCTTACCTCATAACCTTTTCTTTTCTTTAACCTTTTCTTGTTGAGCTTTTTGCAGGCGTACAGTTTTCCTGTGCCTTTCATCTGACAGGCGGACACTTCCCCAAAACCACCTTTACCCAAAACACGGAAATCCAAAAACCAGTCCTCTCCCACCGGCTGCATCTCCAGCCACTTCCACTGCAGGAACCTCTTCAGATACATGCTCTCCAGGAAGAAAGTGTAGGGCACTTCTTTGAGGAAGTCCATGACGCTGTCCATGGTGTCGTTGAAAAGATCGTCGCCGGCTTCGTGGTGTTTCTCCTTGACCTTTGTGATGCCATTCTCCGGCAGAAAGGGGCAGTAATACTTGGCATCAGGCTCCATGTACCGAGACAGGATCTTGCCGGCTTTACTGGCTCTGTCCTCGTCCTCAGCCATGTTGTATTCCTCGATATCCTTCCAAAGACGGCAGGGGCCTTTGTACTCGTTGTTGGAGTCCAAGAACTCCTGGAAAAGCCGTTTGCCGATGGGCTGCTCCACGCAGACGGTGTTGAAGCCCAGATCCAAGGTTTCACGCAGACCTTCACAAACTGTGATGTGAGGCAGCTTCAGGCGGGAGCGGTACTTCTTGTCTCGGTTGACGGCTGGATTGGCGGTGCCATCGAAGCTCCCACGGGCAGAGATATAGGCAGAGTTGGCCACCACTGTGGTCAAGCCACCAATATCCATGGTGATACAGAAAAAAAAAATCTATTCAAAGAGGTTTTAGCTGAAAGTTTATAAAGGAGGAAGCCCAAAACAAAAAGGATGAAAGTAGGGATTTATTCGTCCCTTAGGGATATTAGAGGCAAAGTTTATCAGCCACCTATCATCCGCTCACTGCAGAGACCTCAGTGAGGTGATCACTGAAGCTCACAGCTTCTTCTCGCCCCTTCACACACACGCAGATCGGCCTGACTCATCACCTTTCTCCAAAGGGATTTATCCACTCCGTTATCTCTCTAATGCTATGTCCTGTGCTTAGCCCATGTGCTCGCTGCAAGAGACGAGGAGGCTGAAAACAGAGCAAGGAAAAGACAAGGGAGGCAAAAGAGAAGCAAGAATACATCAAAGTTCATTACATTTCAGACAAAATAATATGCATTTCCATGATATCCTCATACATTTGGTCAGAGCTTATTGCAGTGTCATAATGTAGCTTTATTCTGTATTTGTACAGGCTTTATAATGGTCTTACTGGTTTTCCTTTGGCTTTTGGTGCTTTTTGTCCCATTCTGTATTCCTAACCTATTAACAGTGTGTAAAACATTAAGACAGTGGACAGGAGGAGAGCAGAAAAACAGGTTTAAAACCCTTTGTAGAATATATTAAATGTTTCTGTATTTTATACCTTAAGAAAACAGAAGAGGAGATTCCAGATCGAGGACCTGAAAGTGAGACCATTCTACATTTGATCATCTACACTAGGTGATTCTTTAAATTCAGGAGGCTTGCCACGCCTTAGTAATTCAAAAATCAAAGTTAAATGGCAAAGAGAAAGACAAAACACGGTCAACGTCTCAAAAACCTACATGTGATGAAGCCAATTGTAATAAATCTCTTTGCGATATTAATTCCTAAAACTCTCAGTAAGCTTAACTGAACATAAACTTATAATTTCAGTCACTCCAAAACTGTTTAAATGCAACAACTTTTTTAAAACTGCTTTTATTCTGGCCAAATCTCAACTGATAGAATTTAAACTTGTATTTTTTTTTTTAAGTTTATTGAACTTATAATAAAGTTCAATCAGAACTAATAAACATTTATTTGAATGGAGCAACAAGAGAAAGTTTCACCTTAAAAAATGATTTTATCATCATTACTGTTATAGCTTACTACTTTACTTTATAAAATGTCTTAAAGAACAACGGAAATGCAGCCACACATGTAAAAATATCTTTATCAGTGAGCTATTAACCATCTCCTCCCACTAATAGGATGATGAAGTCTTTCAGAGATGTGCTGACAGCAAAGTTTGTAGGTTATCAGCTTATGCAGGTTTGCTCGGATGCTTGCACACACACACACACACACGCAGGTACACACACACACACACACACACACACACCATGACACGTGTGGAGCTGTGGCATTCACAGCTGAGTGTCACGCCGATGTTAGACAGGGTTTCCACAACTCCTGGGAACCAGACGTTTAAAGGGACGTCACGTGGATTTATGCATGTGAAGCTGCTCCATTACATGCTACTGAAGTGCAAAACATGAGAAAAAATGTCATTTTTCAATTCATTTTTCTTCATTTGAGTTCTCTTTTGTTTAAGTCTCACACAAAGGGCTAAAATATTTAAATTATTTAAATCTTAAATTCGGTGCCTGAAAAAAAAATCTGGAATGTTGATTGTCGTTAATATTGTGAACCCAGAAATGAACACTTTAGTTGTCCAGACAAATAAATAAAGTTCAAAGAAAAGAATGTTTGTCATCTTATTTTTACTAAATATATACAAATCAAGGTAAGTTCAACACAAATGAAGATCTGAATAAAAATGTAAATGACAGCAGAAATAAAATACAAACTTAAGTTAAAAACCCCCTCAAACAAATGGAATATATGAAACTAATAAATATAAACAGTAATGTCTGATGGTGATACATATTAACATTGCACATGTTTTAATAAATGTACATTTCAGTGTAAAAGCTCTTCCTTTTAGTGCCGGGTGGAACAGAGCAAAGCAGGCACATCATTTTGACATTCAGAGGACGAGTGCTGGCATTTTTTCTTCAGATAACACCAGTGAACAATAAATTATCAAACATAAATCTGCTGAAACATTTTCATTGTCTTTGCTGTTATTAGTGCAGTCCAATATACCCAAAAAACAAGATTTCTGGGCAGATTTAGTCAGTTTTCCTGAAACTCTCAGCAAGAAAAGGATGAGATTAAACCAAAGTACCATTAATGTTAATCGGCAGAGATCTTTGACTTCGGCCTGAGGGAGGGTCTGTGATCATCAATGCCTCAAATCACAACAGAGAAAGCACAAACAGTAATGTCATAGTATCTATAAAGAAAAACAACATAAATAGGCAAACATTTATATGGACAACTGTTAAGATTTGGTCCATGGATTTTCAAAGTTAATGTGCAAAATGCGACAATATTGAGCTCAGCATCATGAAAAGTAATAATGAACATACTGTAGAGACATGATTAGCAGTCTAAGTGTTAAAAAAATCTTCCAGTGAAAATATTGTAACAATTTCTCTTTTGTATTTGCTATTGTGATCAGCAGTAGTGTTGATCAGAGAGAAATGGATTTGAAGCAGATTAAATCCAGCTTTAAAAAAAAAAAAAAAGACTTCATGTGATATTGTAACCAGCGCTGGTAAAGTCACAGAGGAATGTTTTTTTTTTTTTTTCCCAGCCCTGATGTCGGTGTGGTCACGTGACCGTTTTGCGTTCGGGGCGAGGAACCCATTTGTGTGTCGTGATTCTCCACAGCAGCGGAGCCAGCAGCAAGCTGAGGGTGGTGACACTGAGGACCAGCAGGTACACCTGAACAGAGACGGGTAGTTTTACTCCCAACATGCGCGGTTCAGTTGCTAACATCGCTTTAAATGCTCAAAGGCCAACCTCCTTCTTCTAAAGTGCATCTATTAAGTGATCAACCACAGAAAAGAGATAAAAGGAAATCCATTCTTAATTTTAACTCTGATACAAATGTATCCTCTAACATTTACAAAGTTCTGCTTTTAGTCAGTTTAATTGAGTAAAGACACGTATTATATGGCAAGATGTTTATATATTAACATACCAGCGCGACTTTTAAAGCTATTTAAATTCATAAAAGCACAAGTATTACTTGGACTAAACATATCATCTAAATTTTTAATTTATACTTTCAGGTGTTGCAGGTCGCATTTTACTGACTTTGTAGTTATAAACAGAGTAGTGCAAGTTCACACTTGAATGCTAGTTGTAAAAGTTCAGCTCACACAGATTAAAACCGAAATAATTCATGTTTGTGTTTCATCAATGACACATACTGTAAAACATAATAAAAAATGCATCAGCTGACATTTAAATAATGCAAAAGATAAAAGTCTTGTGACAAATCTTGTTAAATACTGGCAGATTACATTATGCCTCAACATTAATATTATATTTTGCTGACAGAAACTAAGAAAAGCATAAAAATCATGAGTGACATGTAGCTTGCAAACAAAAAAAACTAACTGTGATCATTTTCTAAGCACTAAAGTTGTTTTTGTTGTCAACACCCCATCAGATAGAAAACTCAAAAGAAAGCAAAATGTTTTTAAAAGTTTCCTTTGAGCTGATTTGTTGGATGTTTTCTGTACAGAATGAGCTTTAGACTCACTCTTTGACAAGAATTGACAATTTTATGTTTAACTACTTACAGTCTTCAGAATTAAAAATAAAACTAAATTGCCAGGCCGAGCCTCTAAGGAAGCATGAATAGGAAACTGGCCGAGAAATAAACGGATGCAATTCTTCTAAACAGACCGAAATTTCAACCAGCTCATCACTCACCTCTCTGGAGATGATGCCGGCTCGACGTGCGCGGCTCCCCAGGACAAAGGAGAACTCGCTGACCTGAGCCAGACCAGCCGAGACGATCCACCGGATGTGTCGGGAACTCGGAGGCAAGATGGTGGACAGAACAAGCACGGCCATTGCAAACTGGAGCAAAATGAGAGAAGTGAGGAGATGAGGAAACTTTGACTGAAAGGACAGACTGAGAACAAAAACAAGGAATTGCTGAACCTTCATGATGACGAGTGTGAGCGTCAGGACCAGCAGGATGGTGAGCTCATACAGCACAAATGTAGGAAACACGTGAAGACCTGCGGCATCAAGCAGACAAAAGAGGAGGATTAAGCACAGTTTACATGTGAAATTCACTTTAAAAAGTGAAGCAAATATCACTGAAAGATCACAATATTCAGCCTAACCAATTGAGGCAAAGAAGATGATAGCGAGAAAGTCTCTGATCGGCTCGATGCACCCCATGACCTCGGCTGTGACCATGTGACCTTGCGACGACAGCAAAGCTCCTGCCAAGAAGCAGCCCAACTCCATGGAAACATCCAGAAACTCTGTAACCTAAAATACCAAACCAAATCAGCCTCTTAACTTCGAGCTGAAGATGGCACAAAAGAAGTCACACCAAATTTCTTTTAATCGTACCGTCAGCATGAAAAAGACAAACGCTGTCATCCCCAGTACCAGGATCTCCTTGTTGCCTTTGCTCTCAGCGTGAAGTTTCTTGTAATACGGACCAATCAGGAAGGATCTGAGCACCAAGCAAAGCAAAAGAACAGCAGCCAGCGACACCAGGACCTGAGCCAGGAGCTTCAGCACTCGCAGACCTCCAAACAGAAAGCTGGTTCAAACAGAGGAAACAAAACATTTACAGGACTGTAAGTTTGAGAAGGAGGAATTTATGATTAAGAAACAATAAATTACAACTTGCTTACTTGTCCAAGTCCCCGCTCTGTGCCTGGATCAGAGTGGGCATGACAGCAATGAAGAGGCCGAGCTGGACATCCTGCATCACCAACATCCCGAGGAGAACGCTGCTGTAGTCCAGGTCACCTGTCAAACACACACACACACATACGCACACACACACACACACACACACACACACACACACACATACACACACACACACACACACACACACACTCACAGCACTGTTTAAGACACTGAGTCAGTCAAAAACTGGAGGAAAGCGTTTCTGACACTTTCAGAAAAACTAGAATAACAATTTTATTAGCTGTCCAAGTCAAAATTGCCCATGTGAAATATATTGTACCAGCTGTGAGCCATAAAAGATTAACTGTGTAACAGGATTTCCCAAATTCAAAGGATTTAAATACATCCCATTTTCAGGGTTAACAGGTCGTCCTTTTTCTCCAACC